GAGCTGCGAGACGGGGCCGGGCGGGAAGGAGGTGCCTCTCCCCCGCCCCGCATCCATTCCTGTCCTGTGCACTAACCTCTAAGCTACTGCTTTTCATATGCCCTCTATTTTGAGGCTTCCTATTATTATTTGCTCAAGGGAAGACAACAGAGTTTACTTCAGCCTACAACAGCTTCTCACATAACCTGGTACCCAGCTACTCTAGTATATACCCAGGTGTATTCTATCTCACTGAGTCAAAACAAGCCCTTGCACCCCAAAGCTGTCTTTCACTTCCATTCTTCCAGTAACACCTAGATTAGAAAGGAAAATGGATTAAAGCATATGCCTCCAGACAGACCCAAGCATTTCCCTTTTTCCACTTAAGATCACAAAGAAAAACAAAAACTTGCAAAACCAAGACATGAGGCAGAATGAGTGGGGTAAAAAAAAAAAAAAAAATCACAAGTACAGGCATACCTGTCAAGAAAAAGCCTCCTCTTCTAGAAACACTGAGAATTCTCAACTGAAATTAGCCTGCTACAGGTGACTTGCAATCAGTGACAGATGTAGCAGCACTAAGTCTTAAGGAGTCATCAGATGTAAATGAAATGTCATAAAATGTTTTGCACCAACACAGTACATCTGGTGGCATGTGCGAAGGCATTTCTCTGCAGATAAGCACTTTCACGTCATAAGCAAGTGAAGTTTGATGGTTAGGGATGAATAACAGATCCATTACTTAGATTTTAAGTCTCTACTAGAACCCCAACATCAATTGAGGATACTGTTGAAACCCCCAAAAGAAATCTTACTTTTGAAAAATGTAAACATTTATTTTTGCAGCTAATGAGGAAGACAAAAATGAAAACAATAGGAAAAAATTTCCCAACGCCTCCATATCTAACCTTTTGCTGCAAATGCAATGGACTACTAGTTTTGGCAAAGATCCAATAACAGGCAAAGAACCACTTAACCACTTTGCCCAGTACTATATTTTAGGCCCGCATAAGATGATCTCTCATTATTCGCCTCTCCCTCCTCCATTCTCTTACAGTATTTCTTCACAGTCATCACTGAAGAATTTGTAGGCCAGCTGAGTCCTCAGCTGTGCTCTCAAGCTCCTCTCAGAAGCATAAAAGGCATAAGCAGAACAGTTTCTTGGTTCCTTCACCAATGGAAAGTCCAGAATTTTTTTGTGTGTGGCAAAAAAAAGATAAACTGTGAAACATGTGGACAACACATTTGAAAAGAACCACAGTTAATGAAATACCTTTTCCCCTTTGATGTGACTGTCCATATGTCTTCTACTATTGGTGATTCCTGAACAGTGAAACTCTACAAAGCTAAAACATAGATGTTCAAACAAGAATTTTGGTAGAGCTCTGCTAAAGAGCTCTATCTGTCCTATTCACCTTGTGAAGGAAATCTGTTTGTGTACACGTGAAAAGATTCTCAGATGGTTACTCCAGAGCTTTTGAGACTGAAGACACTTCTACTTGAGCAAAGAAAAGGGCTGTCTAATAACATGAAGTGAGATGTTCTACTGAGGCTTGAAATTCCCTTATTCTCCACCTTTTCTTGCCACTAACAAAACTTTATTTTCTGCCACTGTTGTGGGAAAACAACAGTCAATGACCCAGACGAAAAGTGAAAATATAGGCAGGCTGAATCTAGATGAACTGTTCACATACTTAGGGGACATTATGTTCAACACCTCAGTGAGAATGGTAACATCTCCACTAACAGCAGTCTTAACAGATTCAAAAACCAAAATTCTTTAGTCTAAAGAGATGCAATGAGTAGTACATCCTCCCGTTTGAACACCCTCTTCTCCTTTCAATTAGGAGGTAGGTATGCAGCAGTCCACACAGATTAGGAAATCAGAAATCATTCAGAGATCCTGAATTTTCAGGCTTTCAGAGAAGGCAAGAATGTATATGACTGTGACATCTCCTACAAAATCTCCTGCCTCATTTCTGGGACCATACATGGATGTGGAGAGAGGAGGGGGAATATTTTCACAACTGATGCTCTACAGTGTTCATTAATCCTGGTAGCTGAGTGGCTGTCAGCATAACATGACTCCATAAGCAGACAGGTTCCTGTCACAGTGAAAATGATCTGGCTTCTTGTCTGTTCACACAAAGCATTGTGACAGTGTTGTTTCTCATCACCTGTCTTGCATTGCTCTGGATCACAGGCAGAACTGATCACAAACTAAGCCAATTATTGTGAGCTGAAAAAAATATTCCAGTAAGATCAAAATTTTGACTTATATATTCTTGCCCTCCAATGTTGGAAGCAGATGTCTCTTATTTTTGCAGGTAAGTAAATACAGAAACACAACTCCTCTGCATGTGTGGTAGTGATTCTTCTTCTGCTAATCTAATACTGACAAAACATCCCAGCAGGGAACATCACTGGTGTGCATTTTGGTGGGGGGGTTTTGTTTTTTGTTTTTTTTTGTTTTATACATTTGCTTGGAAAGAGAGAGACTTTGGCTTTCTTTGCATACTGAGCTGGCAGCTGGAGTTCTTATTGACCTACCAGCCTTCAAATTACTTACAGCACTATTGTGATCTCATGCAATGTGACCAAGGGTTTTGCTGTATACTTGAGAAGTGTCTTCAAAAACGCTGGGTTTTGGGAGGGTACTAAAGGTAGTGTTCCTTTAATTATCCTGAGTGCTAGTTAAAGGAAGATATAAGAAGGGTATAAGAGCTGTTGTCCATCATCTGATAAAGAACAGAACCCTGAATCAGCTTGTTGCAACAGCTTGATCCCTTAAGAGCTTCCTTGTGTTATTATCAGAATGCACATAGTGAAGGCTCTTGTGGCAAATGACAACTCTGACAAAAAAAAAGAAAATCATACTGGAAATATCCTATCTCCACTAAGCATCCTGGGTGCGTCCTATGAACTTGATGCGTGGAAATACTTGTACAGAAGGTTGAAAGGAACAATCCAGTCTCATGGATCTAAGGTAAGTTCACTGTGACTAGATTCCTCATTCCTAACTTGTAGATATATTAAAAGCTACACTGCAAGCAACTGCGTGTTAAAGAGCATATTACAAAAACCCCCTTAGGGTAAAGAGGCAGGGATGGAACAGGAAGCAGTTTTTTCTAGTTAAAAAAGGAAAGAACGAAGGATGGCTGGCTCCTTCCTTCCCTTTTCTACTATGTTTAGTGAGGAAAGACAACAAAACTGTGTGCCAAGGGTCCATCTCCCATGAAATACTTATATATTGAAGGGGGGTTGTAAACTTACCAAACCCAAAGAGAACATGGGAACATTTTGCATTGTAACCTCACAGAGTAACCAGTGCTCTTCAAGCAAAGAAATGGTATTCCAAATAACATAGATTTTGATTGAAATTTTGTCAAAAGAAAGCATGCTGCAATAGTAATTAAATAAGCATTTATAACTGCCAACTGCCTATCTTTCACTTATATATATATATATATGTATATATACATATATATATATACACACACACACACATATATATACGTACTTCTACAGCACGGCTTGAATTCCAACAATCAAAGCTGTTATAGTTGGGGAGGGAAAAACATACCCAAATACAGTTCTATAAATTATCTGCTGCTAAAAACATATAGCTGATATGAGTCCACAGGACATCCGAGTTAAGTTTCCTGTTAAAACTGAATACTTAGCTGAACAAAGACAGAGATAAGAGCACAATGATTTGAGATTAGTTGAATCTAAGCAGAAAACAAATTATGTGAGTACTGAGCTTTGTAATCCAGAAATAAAAGAAGTGTGAGGTATGATCGACATCATTATAGCTTTTCAGACTGTCCAGAAAATACTGCTGTAATGGTGACCTTGCACAGACGTAAACATCCAAAGCAACAAAAAAAAAAAAAACAGTCCTCTTGATGATATCACTCACTCTCTTATGGTAAGATTATAACAACTGCAGATACGAGTCTGACAGCTACAAATACATTTAGGATTTGACGTATGCTTAGGTCACAGTTAAGAGCGTGACTGCAGTACATGCAGACATACCCGAGTTAGCTTTAATCCAGCTAACAAGGTCATAATGGAACAGCAATAGCAGTGCAGTCTTCCTTAAAAGCTGTGTTATACTTCTGAGGACCCTGGAATGACACTTTGAAGAGCTAGCGTACAGCATTCTGGTTTCTTTCAAGAGATTTATGGAGTTTGCAGTTACGATATTTTAATGTAATACAGTCCAAAGCACAGAAACCACACATCCAGTTTCCATTAAAGGCAGAACTTCACTTATTTTAAAGGGAATGATATTTGGGTTGCAGGTTTAGTTTACTTTTCAGTTTCATTGTCACAGACATTATGGGATAATAAAGCTATTTACAGTTCAGTAGTTAAATGCATCTAGGATTGACCAAAACTACTGCAAAACACATTTTTATCATTAAAAGGATATAAAAATAAGAATTTTTTTTCTAATATACATACTCTAAAATAATGACAGTGTGGTAACTGAAGGAGAAATACTTTTTAAAGGGGACTGCTTTCATACAATAGCATAGACTAGACATGTTATGTTGACATTAATCAAAATGCAGACCTTTTGGGAGCATTTTATATATTTCAATTCATTTATTTGCATTTATCCTAAAATATATTACAATCATAAAATTAATGGCTGACGATTTATGAACCCTCTATTTTACTTTTTCTAAGCTTGCATTTTTTCTTTTTATAATATTTAAATTCAAAATATATGTATGTTTCTGTAATGGTACTAGTTCAACCCTCCTGCCTTCCAAATAACAAAAAGTCTCAGACAAAAATCTAATACTTACTCAGGAGTTATGCACATGCTTAAAGAGAATAGAGATGGGGGAATATTTTAATTAGGAATAGGGCCAAACTCACCAATATTCAGTCATAAAAAAAGCTCATCTTGCTAGTTCAGCTCCAGATTCTCTTTACCTTGCTTTGTTCCCTAGTTCAAGGCACAGTCATTTTATCTTGGCTACATACCTTTGGCTCTCAAAATGCGGAGTTTGACAGAGGTGGAAAAATGCTTGTTTCCCCTGGTATGATGCAGCTGAATAAGTCTCCAGGTTGCTTTTTCTCAGCAAGGTTTCTTTATAGTGCAGCATTTTGCTTTCCCAGAGTACTGTAAAAATAACAACAAACATATGTATGCAAACTGTATCTCACATAGCTCTATAATTTCAATTTTAGAAATGCAGTAATTACACAGAGGTTAAATAATTTGAACAACAGGAACTTCATTCCCAGTCTGCATAAAGACGACGTGAAATTTAAGAGTGGGCCTGCTAATGATTATTAAAAAGTTTTTGGACAAAATCTTCAGACATAGCATTTAAATATAAGCATCTAAATAATGTTATCCATCATAAACATTTCAAGCAGCTGAAGCAGGGATATTGACCCATCTGAATTATCATGTGTCGCAGGATGACCAACTACCTTAGAGTCCCAGATCGTGTGGGGTTTGTGTGGTGTGAGGGAGGGGAGGAAAGGGAGACAGAGATTTACTGCACGGCTCCATGACTTGTTTCAAAGATCAAAATTTACTACACAAATTACAACAGTACAAAGCAACAACTCTTATTAACAGAAACTTAGCTCAACTAGAATACTTATTTTCTAGTTGCACTAAAAATCATGCTAACAGTAACTCCTTAGCAAATAGAAAAAGTTAGCTAATTTATACTAATTGTAATTACCTAAATGAATGAACTAGGTAAGCCAGTTCTGGTTGATCTTACCCACTGCACTTCAGCAGCCAACATACACTCAGTCCTATGGAAGAAACTGCAGGAGGGAGTCCCTGCCCCAAGGGGCTCCGTAAAGTTAGCAGGCCCACTGTCACCTGCCAAGAGCCAAAGACAGCCTCCTGGGCTGACCAATTTATACCCTGCAGGGGAAAGTGGAGTCGCTAGGCCCACTGCAGTTCTCTTCACCCACTCATAGTCCTTAGCTTTTTGGCTGCTGGAGGGTTCAACTCTCCTTTGTTGTTGTTATGACGATTGCACCCATGGTCATGGGAGGGTGGGGTGGAGGGTGGCCAAACACTCCCAACAGCAGGTTGGCTGCCTTGAGTGCTCTTCAGCACTAAAGAGGAGGCTGAGTGACTGCTAATGACTGCTTTACTCTTGCAGTGGTGAAGGAGGAGTTAATTCCAGTCTGCAATGATTAACACTCGCCCCAGCAGTGAAAGCAGGTGTTGTCTCTCAGGGTCCTGACAGAAGAGGATAATTCCAGACCGCAATAATTAACACAGCAGTGAGAGGAGGCTTTGTTCCTCAAGGTCCTGACGCCCAAGTAGGCCTTATCTCAAAGTCTCAAGTCCCCTTTGGAGTATGAGGCACAGGAATGCAGACTGCTTGTAAGTGGCACCAGACTGGGGGGAGAGGGGGGGAAGCTGGGAGCATCCCCTCACATTCCCACCCTTCCACTCCATTGACATAAATTGCAGTAAGCTCTTCAACAGCTAACAGTACGCATATTCAACAGATAATCCCATACAAAATGCCACAGTACCTAGATGCCTATGGTGTGAGTCTGCCGTGTCACCTCTCCTTTGCTGACTAGGTTTGCTCCGCACTCATGGGGTCACTGCAGGGCCATGGCAACCCCACAGCGTGGTCGCTCTGGCCGTGGTGCACCCAGGGTTCCTAAACTCTTGGGGAGCACCCCAGAGCAAACCCCTCTTCTATGGGCTGCACCATCCTGAGACCCACAGTTGCCTGTGCGGCACCTATCATCATGATCTCTCACACATTCTGCTGTTGGTACTGACAGACAAAAGGACTCCATGAGAGTTAGTGAAATCACTCTTGAGTATTTAAAACAAACAAGCAAACAAAGTACATATTCTTGTGGCTCTCACCATTTGTAGTACTAGATCAGCTAAAAGGAAAAAGTAAAAAAAAAAAAAAAAAAAACCGAGAGAGAGAGGAAAACCTGAGACTAAAATAGCCCTCAATAATAAGCTTGTTATAAACCTGGAGTAAATGGTCAATGAAACATCAACCACTAAGTCATTACCAGCTATAACCATTATAGACTTTAGCTGCCTCAATCCCTCAAGCCTCACCTCTTTGGGGATTTATTATCAGCCTCACAAACAAATACTGTCCTTTGAAAATCAAGTCTGTCTTTCCTTCTTGACTACCATCTTCTCTCGTCCTATGGCGTAAAAGTATTTATGATGAGGAATCAATGCATATAGTAGCCCTCCACAATGCATGCTATCCTCTCTAATTTCAGATCAACTGCTCAATCCATTCCGAGCCAACATGCAGTTATGGCAATTCCAAAAGGAATACTTAGAAGAGTTCTAGATGGAACGCTCAAAGCAAGTGCAGATAGACTTACAGTTAAGTTCATAAAAAGGTAAGAATAAAGCTTTTATCCTTCTGAGTGTTTTTAAAGAGTTCTGGATAAACAATAAGTTTGGCAGATGAAACTCTACAAGTAATCATTCCTCCCTCTCTCATACTGTAAACGAGAGCAAAAAATTATTTTTTCTATGAGACGCCAGCAACAGGGTTTTTTTTTTTTTAAATGCTTCAATGAAAAGATTTATAAAAGTATAGTGTGACATTCATGACTTTGTAAAGACATCTAAAGTCTCCAAACTTCACATATACTCTCAGTTCAGTCTTAAAAAGGTCTGTAGAGCAAAGTTTGTAGGACATAACTACATTTAAATAGCAAAAAAAAATTCTACAAATCAAGCAGCTGAAGTCCAAGCAATCCTTAAAAAAAATGTATGAAGGGTACAAGAAATCCAAGGAGTTAATGTCAATTAAAAGTTAAAGCAATAATGTACCAAATTCTCAGAAACACCCAAACCTGCCATCTTTATTTTAATTCTATAAAGAAGAGCTAACTAAAGATCGCATAGAGCTAACTAAAGATTGCATAATAAAAGAAGGTTCTAGGTTAAACTTCCTAATGAACCCGCCCATCATCCTTCTAATGTTT